GGCTCCGCCCCTGATGAGAACGGTGAGGAATCAGCCCAGAACTACACGGGAGGTACTTGTCAATGATCTCAAGGCAGCTGGGACCAGAGTCACCAAGAAAACAATTGGTAACACACTACGCCGTGAAGGACTGAAATCCTGCAGCGCCCGCAAGGTCCCCCTGCTCAAGAAAGCACATATACATGCCCGTCAGAAGTTTGCCAATGAACATCTGAATGATTAAGAGGACAAGTGGGTGAAAGTGTTGTGGTCAGATGAGACCAAAATGGAGCTCTTTGGCATCAACTCAACTCGCCGTGTTTGGAGGAGGAGGAATGTTTTTTTTTCACTCCAGCGCAGTCTTCGAGACAGGCTGGTCCCTTCACCTGATGAAGGCCGCTTGTGTTGTGGCCGAAACGTCGTGAAGGAGGAATGTTGCCTATGACCCCAAGAACACCATCCCCACCGTCAAACATGGAGGTGGAAACATTATGCTTTGGGGGTGTTTTTTCTGCTAAGGGGACAGAACAACTTCACCGCATCAAAGGGACGATGGACGGGGTCATGGACCGTCAAATCTTGGGTGAAAACCTCCTTCCCTCAGCCAGGGCATTGAAAATGGGTCGTGGATAGGTATTCCAGCATAACAATGACCCAAAACACACGGCCAAGGCAACAAAGGAGTGGCTCAAGAAGAAGCACATTAAGGTCCTGGAGTGGCCTAGCCAGTCTCCAGACCTTAATCCCATAGAAAATCTGTGGAGGGAGCTGAAGGTTCGAGTTGCCAAACGTCAGCCTCGAAACCTTAATGACTTGGAGAAGATCTGCAAAGAGGAGTGGGGCAAAATCCCTCCTGAGATGTGTGCAAATCTGGTGGCCAACTACAAGAAACGTCTGACCTCTGTGATTGCCAACAAGGGTTTTGCCACCAAGTACTATGTCATGTTTTGCAGAGAGGTAAAATACTTATATCCATCATTACAATGCAAATCAATTTATAACATTTTTGACATGCGTTTTTCTGGATTTTGTTGTTGTTATTCTGTCTCTCACTGTTCAAATAAACCTACCATTAAAATTATAGACTGATCGTTTCTTTGTCAGTGGGCAAACGTACAAAATCAGCAGGGGATCAAATACTTTTTTTTCCCTCACTGTAGACCAGTCAGTGTTGCTGCACACAGACGAACGTATCGCGAGCTAAAGAATGGACATTGCTCAATCAACACTTCCCAACTGTAAATTCTCGTCTCTCTCTCTCTCTCCCCGACTCTAAACCCCGAACAGACTTAAAACAGATCAGTCGGTTAACAAATATCAGTGATCCCATGTTACACTCGGCATAAGAAATAAATCAAACAATGACATCGTTTACTTATCAGGCATATATTATGCATTGCTTAGGAATCACCGAAAGCAAAAGGAGATTTCATAAATGTGTATTTATTTTAAAATATTTCTCAGTCATCTGCACAGCCACTTTCTTGCAGAATTTACGGCTCCTGGGGCACCCCGGGGATGTCTACCAAGGTCAATGACCTGAAATAGTTTAATGGGGGAGGGAGAAGCAACGTGATTGCTCGGATTGCGCACAATACTGCGGCAGCTTTTAAGTAAAGCCACCCGTGCCTAAACGATCACAATTGGTGTTTGTTTTTCCTATATAATTTTAATTGCTCATGTTCGTGCCTTCCCCCAGTCAACTCACTGCTCATATTCATTTGCAGGCTCAAGACCTTTTTTTTTCTTCGTCTGCCCATCACTGACTGCCTCTCACTCTCTCTACAAAATAAATATGCCCACTTTGTTTCTGTACATCATCTTGAGATGCGATCGCATTTTGAAGATAACCACAAATTGTGGATTAATTGCAGTGTGGTGGGAATAACGCTCAGACGGTGGTTAGGGATAAGGCATTCCGATTGTTGGAATAGAAGTTTGAATTAAATATTAATTGGGTCTACTTGTCATCATCATAAATCATTATCGTCGTCTTTGAAATGTTATCACCATCATCTTCATTGTATTACATGCAATCATTACCATAATACCTTATGAATGTCATTACCAGTATCAACATAATCTATTAAAGGTAATCATCATAACGACTTGTTAAATATCATTAACTAATTATCATCATCACCACCATCATCAGCAGCAGCAATATCACCGGCATATATATCATCAGCATCGATTAAATGTAATAATCATCTACTACATGTAATATTAAGAAGAATAATGATCTTTTTTATCACGTTGTTACAAAATATAACCCTCATCTGTGCAATGCAATCATCATCACCTTCATCATCATCCGATGTTCACGTTAAAGCGAAAACGACATGGCAGGTCAGCACAGCGCATCAGACGTTCTTCTTCGGAGAGACTCGTCCTTGCCATAGGTAATGTGGAATTTCCATAACTTACTCAAAACCACTACTTGGATGCGACCTATTTTATTTGTGAGGTTGTTCAAACATATTATTATTACTATGCGTGTTTACCCAGGAAAGCTTCACTGAGCCTTAAAACTATTTTTCAGTCGGGCTTGATGTTGCCGCTCTGTGCAATCTCCATTGAGTATTTTGCAGGTCATTTGTTTCAGCACTTGGATGTTTGTATGGTTAGTGTTCTTACTCGCTATGGGAGGCCGGTGGAGAATCCAGAAGAAGTAAAAAAAACCCAAGCTGAACAGGAGGAGAACATACAAACTCCTGGCAGATAAGCGCTCGAGTCGGGAGTTGAACCCAGGCTCATCTTGCGGTGAGGCACTGCACCACCCTGCTGCGCTTCCCGCCGCCCGCCCTCTCGCCCGCCCTGCCACCCGCCCTGCCACCCGCCCTGCCACTCGCCCTGCCACCCGCCCTGGTGAAGTGGCCCATTGAGGTGTATATTTTGACAAATATGCGGTCCAGCTTTCAAGTATTCGTTCCCACAACTGCCCGCCACCACTCGCGCACAGCCGCTAGACATTGCTATTTAAAGCGGCCAAATGTTAGCAATTTCATTATAATTTCCTGCAGAGGTCAAGATGAACATTCCTCTGTGGCATAGCTACACACTGCAGCAACTGCTTTAGTGTATACGTGCACACTGTGTGTGTGTGGGGGGGGGGGGGGAGTAGTGGCGCAACGGTTAGCACAATGCACTACGAAATCTGGTGATTCCTGTGGCTGGCCGTGATGCTGGTCACACCACTCCCTTGTCAGCTCTGCTTGTCTTAATGGGTGCTCGCTGTATTCGCCTTAATAGAATGAAGAGTGGATCTTTGTCTTTATATAACAGACATGTCAGAGTTTCCATACACCCGAGCCGCTATTCTAGACCCAAGGAGATATGCACGTATGTATAGAAGCAATGCTTTACCAGGTTGTCCTCATACGAATTATTTTCAATTATTTTCTTGAGTTTGTTTTTCATCTCATCTTTGTCGATGTTTGTGACTGCGGCGCTCATATTCTTCACCATGATACTGTTTTTGTACCCGCGCATGCCTTGCACCAACCTCATGTTGCCCTTCAAAGAGAGACTTTTGCGCCTCCGATTGAGCACAGTTGGCTACGAACGGTGGCGAAAGAAGTTCAACGTACATTTTGCCTTAATGGGCTCTCACCTCTGATGACGCTCGCGCGGGTACGTACGCGTGATTTGGTGGAGTGGTTAGCAGCACACTGCGCTACGAACCCGGCGAACTGAGTTCAATTCCCAGCCGCGGCTCACACCACTAGAGAGCGATACATCTGAACGAGTCCTGGGTACACCGCCGTCCTTCACAAATCCGCACTGAGGCCGCACGCTGAGGTACGGTCCAACAACCCCCATTATTCACACCGTGTGCGGGTGGCCTTCAAGCAGGCGGTGGGTAGACTAAGGGCAGTTAGTTATATATTGTTTGCGAACTGCGCTCTTCATCCATTTAAAATCAACTGCGTTAATTACTTGGATGCTCGGAATCTAAGTGTTGTAAAAATATTTTTTTTAAATACTTACGCAAAGTATGTTCGTATTTAATCGTTGAAATTTGAGTCACGTGATTTTTTTGTGTGTTCCTCCATTTCCTGTTACTCTGAAGTCTTTTTTCTTTCTGCTTTTATTTTATAATATAAGGCTGCACTTGTTTAACCCTCGGGTTTCTCTTGAATAGGAATGTTTAGTCCCAATGGGCCCTAACCCAATTACAAATAAAAGATGCGAATGATCGAATGAATGCGGTCTTTAGATACATGGAATTTCACTCGAGATCCATCGAGATTCATCAATCACTGCCCAATTCCATTGATGAGTGCTTGCAGTGGCGTAGCTAAATTGAGTGTGTAGGCGGTGCAACTGCCCCCAGGGCCCATGGTACAGAAAGGCCCAGGCGTGGACAGAGAGTGTGGGGAGCAGCCTCACTTCATTCCGTGCACCAGGGCTCATGGCCAACCACGTTGCTCTGTACACTGAGCATTTTGGTTTCGTGTGGAATGACACTGGAGTACCCAGGGGGAAACACACACACACACACGTACGAGGAGGTAGCAACTCAAAGGTTCACAACAATGAATTCAAGAATCCATTGCCTTGCTGCCATCTCGTGGCCACCCCGGAGGCCAATCAAACGAGACCTGGCATAGCTCGGCAATCTTTCAAGCCGAGTGCTGACCAGGCTCAGCGTCCTGCTTAGCTTATCTTTGAAGAACCGACGAGACCAGGCGCATTCTGGGCGATGTTGCCGTAGGCAGCTCGGCAATGGAATCGTAAATTCACCGGGTGGGCGGATGAGGAAGGAGAGGAGGGACGAAGCGGAGCAGGGTGGGGGTGGAGATGAGTTGGAGATAGATGGGGGGGAGGGGGGGGCACTCGCCTAGGCTTGACAACGACGTCGTAAGAGATTTGTGCCAGAAAGATGTGGCCATTACTTGAGCATGTTGGCAAAAGACATCAGAGGAAAGCGGAAACAAAGAGCGACGAAACGTGCAGCGGACACCTTACGGGATGTCTGCTCATGGATCGTGATGATGATGATGACGATGACGGCTCACCTGGGCTATGCACGGCCAGAAGGAGCGAAGGGGGGCTTTGCCCCCCACTTTTGACGCGTACCCATCCGGATGAGCCCAGCCCTACCAGCGATCCACTCTCTCCGTCGGCGCTCGCTACATCGTCCTGAGAGACACGCACAGGCACGCGGGGACGATTCATCGCACTGGGTCACGGTGGGTTGGTAAAGGCGGGGGCCCAGGACCGGTTCAAGTGTCACTCGCCACTGATGCTGGCCATGGCCCGGGAATCAAACTCGGGTGTCCGGGTTTTTAGTATCGCGCGCTATCCGCTGTACCACCGCTCCCTGGATTGAACACGAGCAAAGCGATTTGGATTCACATCGCGATGTCTAAGCGCGAGACCGCCGAACCGAAGAAACACGTGGTTGTATTTAGTTTGCAGATGGCGGGCAGAGGAAAAGAAGGAGGGTCGTGAACTTGAGCAGGGGCAGGAAGTCAACGGCGAGGGTGGCTGGACGGAAGGGAAAATTCCGGCGGAGGAGGATAAGCGACCTCCCGCTGAACGAAGGTCGACTTGGGGGTCTGACAGAAAGCCTCGGTTGTTTGAGCGGAGAGTAAGAGTAGGACGAGAGGAAAATATAGGAGTGCGCGTGGAAGGGGAGTAGAGTGAGGTGAGAGGTGGGAGAGTGCGTGGAGGGGAGCAGAGTGAGATGAGGGGGAGAGTGCTAGGCAGAGGATCTTTAAGATCTTGAAGATGGTGAGGGCGATTTTTTAAATCAATCTCGACCGCAGTGAGCAGCAGTGGTTGCGGTGGCTCCTAGATTCGGGTCGCGGAAGGTACGAACTCCCCCCCCCACCCCCCCCCCGGCTCGCCCAGTCCGGGTGCAGGTGGATTCATCCGCTGGAGCCCGAAGCCACCGAGCGCTTGGCGATCGTTAGCGGCCTCGTGTCGAGCTGACAGCGGAGCAACCCTCCTGGAAAGGTGGCACGGTCTTCCTTACGAAGGCAGACGGTTGTTTCAGTTGGGACCTCCGCACCTCGCCGTGAACAAAGCATCATTCGTACGCGTCCTGCATTTACCGTACGGGTGACACGTGCGTTTCGTCGCATCGTGTTTGTTGAGCGGCGGTGTCAGCGGCGAGCGCGTCGCGCTACGAGCCCGGCATCCCCGAGTTCGTTTCCCCCCTCAATGGTCAAGACCTCGGTGACGATTATCGGAACCGGTCCTGGGCCTCCCCTAGGTCGACTCAGCCTAAAATGAGTACCTGGTGTAGCGGTGTGTAAACATCGCCACTCGGAAGGCAAAGGCGGACGGGTGCGGAGCTGGCCACCCACCCCATCGTGTGCCGATACCGGCTTTCAGAGGTGCTCGCTAACAGCACTTGTCCGAACAATCTTAAGGCTGTACGGGGGATCTTTGTCTTTCATGGTTGCATGTACACACACATGAATTTACAGTATATACCGTGTATATTTCTGCATTTGTATCCGTGCATATTAATGCAAACTCTGTAAATAGGTTTCACGTGTCAAGACGTACTCAGAAGTATTGTGTATCATAACGGATTTTTTTAGGGCTCAGATCGCCACGTCAGTAAAATGTGTGTCGTAAACCCTCCTCCACCCGACATAGCCAATTGATAAAGTTGTCACGTGATGAACAAACGTGGCCAACGTGTTACTGCTTCAGCTGCCCCACGCTGGAGTGTTGTTGGAGAGCGACCTCACAGCGTTTAACAAATTGCTTCAGCGTTTCGCTGATATATGTTACAACCAGCATCATCAGGCAATTGCCAGATTTGCGCAAATTATACGTGTATATACACGCACTAAAACTAACTCTGCAGCCCTCTGTCAATCCACTGCTGGATGAAGGCCTCCTGAGGCCGTTCCAATCGGGGGAGTTGCTTGGCCACATTTCATCCCTAACCACTGCGCCCACCGTTCCACCCCACAGAGAAGAAGAATAACAATGCAATTATGTTCTATTTGCGAGGTGGTCCACATTTCTACGTGTTCTGCTCAAAGTATTCATCGCATAGCAATCAAGCCAAAATATGTAATCCACGGAGCTACAAAATTCAGAAATTATGCAACGAATGTAATGTAAAATGACGGGTTTTTTTTCTGTTTCATGCAGACGCACTTGAAAACATGCTTTGACCACGGGCGGCTGGAACCTGGATTGAACCCATAAATCTCAGCGATGGTGGCTCAAGTGTCTCCGAAGCGGCACGTGAAGCCCCCTTATAATGCCACGCGGCCTCCTCACTTTAATTTGTTGTTGTTATTGCGACACCCACTGTCAGAGCTGCAGTAAGTAGAGCCGCCCAGCCAGGCCAATCCATTTTAAACATCGTCGCGGTCATCGGGAATATTTATAGACGGGCACCACTACGGACCATAGAAGAACCCCTCCCCCTGTCTTCTGCACTTAGAAGGGTGATGGGAGACGCAATAAGATGACTGGCTATGGGAGATCAGAATCTTTATTTAGACTGCAGGAGGAATCCGATGAGCTCTGAAGCTCTCTTTCACACATGTCCAGTATGGGGGGGGGGGGGGGGGGTCAGCTAGTTGCAACAGATGCCACCCGGAGCAGAGAGGCAAGAAGTCGGAGGAAGACCGAGGATGCGAGATGGGTGGCGAGATGTGGTGGAACGAAGACGCGAGGGCAAGATGACGTGGCCAGAGGAGAGGCACGGAATGGAAGCACGCGGAGAAATAAAATACGAGCAGCCGATCCCGTTACATTTTTCGGGCTTGTCTGGCTTAGAATAAGATCGTCTTATCTTACGGCCACCGCCGGATTAATAATCCTCGCTCATTGCCCCGGTGACATTGAGCGCGACGACGTCAATAGTCGATCTGTCGAAGCGGTGGTTAAAGTTCAGGTGCCACGCATTGGAATGATTGATACATCATTGGACTACTTTGCCAGTACCAAAATATGAGAATAGGTTTTTTATTCTCTGATGTATGTTTTTTGTTTGCATTCTGACCACAAGTATTGTGGTTAATGCAGGTATGATTCCTTGTAAAAGGTTTCAGTTTGGTGTTTTAACATCTTAACACCTGTTTTGTTGCCAGAAAAAATGGGGAAACCCTATTTTTATGGAATGATTGATGTAAGGTTTTTTTTGGGTCACATTTAAATAGCGTTTGTTGGTTGTTAGGCTGTGTGCGTACGCGTTTTTGTGTGGTACGTATGTGTGTATGTGTGTGTCTGAGCCTCCCCGAGATCGACTCAGCCTCATATGATTAACTGGTGTGGTGTGTAAACATCGCCGCTAGGGAGACAAAGGCGGCCGGGCGTGGGTCCTGGCCACCCACCCCGTCGCGTGCCATTCCGGGCTTCATAAGTGCTCGCTAACATCACTTGCCCCGACAGCCTACTCAAGGCTCTGGCGTGGAGATCTTTGCATTTCACGTGCACATGTGCGTCATTTAAATGTCGGTGTTCTTGTTAAACTCAGATCCCACGTGGCCTACGGAAATCAGTGACGTGATTCAGAGTGAATGGCGACGAACATCACTAACGTACCGCTTAACGAGACGACGTGCGAGTGTTTATCTCTGCGTTAGTCCATCTATCGATCTGGACAACCCGCGTGCGCTTATTTGGAAGAAACAAAGTTGCCAGCGTTTGACTTGGCTCCAATAATAACCCATCCAAAACCGGACGGACGTATGCTTCATCGGTGCCTGTATTCCGCGCATCGCACGACTTAAATAAACACACGCGAGGTTAGCGCCCGTGTGTTATCGATCACAATTAGCCGTCGAGACAAAAAAAAATATCAACAAACTTTGGTTGGCCTAAACCAGGCAAGCGTCAGTATTATTAACCCAAAGAACGCAACAACAGCTCTTTGGTTTTTTCGGTAAGGTCACGTGACTTTACCGAAAAAAAACAAAGAGTAATTCCTGCAGTCACGAAAGCTTCAAATCAACGCAACAACAGGGCAATTAAATTTGACAGCGCGAAGCTTGCGGTCACTAAACAGAGAAATCGTTGAGCGACAACAGTGTCAAGCGAGAACAGTGTCAAGCGACAACAGTGTCAAGCGACAACAGTGGCAAGCGATCGACCCGTTACCCACATGCGTGCTTGTGTGTGTAGGTGTGTGTATAGGTGTGTGTACAGGTGTGGGTGTGTTTGGTTGTTGGGCTGTGTGTGTGTATAGGTGTGGGTGTGTTTGGTTGTTGGGCTGTGTGGGTACAGGTGTGGGTGTGTTTGGTTGTTGGGCTGTGTGGGTACAGGTGTGGGTGTGTTTGGTTGTTGGGCTGTGTGTGTGTATAGGTGTGGGTGTGTTTGGTTGTTTGGCTGTGTGTGTGTGTACAGGTGTGGGTGTGTTTGGTTGTTGGGCTGTGTGGGTACAGGTGTGGGTGTGTTTGGTTGTTGGGCTGTGTGGGTGTACAGGTGTGGGTGAGTTTGGTTGTTGGGCTGTGTGTGTGTACAGGTGTGGGTGTGTTTGGTTGTTGGGCTGTGTGGGTGTACAGGTGTGGGTGTGTTTGGTTGTTGGGCTGTGTGTGTGTACAGGTGTGGGTGTGTTTGGTTGTTGGGCTGTGTGTGTGTATAGGTGTGGGTGTGTTTGGTTGTTTGGCTGTGTGTGTGTACAGGTGTGGGTGTGTTTGGTTGTTGGGCTGTGTGGGTACAGGTGTGGGTGTGTTTGGTTGTTGGGCTGTGTGGGTGTACAGGTGTGGGTGAGTTTGGTTGTTGGGCTGTGTGTGTGTACAGGTGTGGGTGTGTTTGGTTGTTGGGCTGTGTGTGTGTACAGGTGTGGGTGTGTTTGGTTGTTTGGCTGTGTGTGTATAGGTGTGGGTGAGTTTGGTTGTTGGGCTGTGTGGGTGTACAGGTGTGGGTGTGTTTGGTTGTTGGGCTGTGTGGGTGTATAGGTGTGGGTGTGTTTGGTTGTTGGGCTGTGTGTGGGTACAGGTGTGGGTGTGTTTGGTTGTTGGGCTGTGTGTGTGTATAGGTGTGAGTGTGTTTGGTTGTTGGGCTGTGTGGGTGTAGAGGTGTGGGTGAGTTTGGTTGTTGGGCTGTGTGTGTGTACAGGTGTGGGTGTGTTTGGTTGTTTGGCTGTGTGTGTGTATAGGTGTGGGTGTGTTTGATTGTTGGGCTGTGTGTGTATAGGTGTGAGTGTGTTTGGTTGTTGGGCTGTGTGTGTGTATAGGTGTGAGTGTGTTTGGTTGTTGGGCTGTGTGTGTGTATAGGTGTGAGTGTGTTTGGTTGTTGGGCTGTGTGGGTGTACAGGTGTGGCTGTGTTTGGTTGTTGGGCTGTGTGTGTGTGTACAGGTGTGGGTGTGTTTGGTTGTTGGGCTGTGTGTGTGTGTGTTTGTGTACAGGTGTGGGTGTGTTTGGTTGTTGGGCTGTGTTTGTGTATAGGTGTGGGTGAGTTTGGTTGTTGGGCTGTGTTTGTGTATAGGTGTGGGTGAGTTTGGTTGTTGGGCTGTGTGGGTGTACAGGTGTGGGTGTGTTTGGTTGTTGGGCTGTGTGTGTGTACAGGTGTGAGTGTGTTTGGTTGTTGGGCTGTGTGTGTGTGTACAGGTGTGGGTGTGTTTGGTTGTTGGGCTGTGTGTGTACAGGTGTGGGTGTGTTTGGTTGTTGGGCTGTGTGTGTACAGGTGTGGGTGTGTTTGGTTGTTGGGCTGTGTGTGTACAGGTGTGGGTGTGTTTGGTTGTTGGGCTGTGTGTGTGTGTACAGGTGTGGGTGTGTTTGGTTGTTTGGCTGTGTGGGTATAGGTGTGGGTGTGTTTGGTTGTTGGGCTGTGTGGGTGTGTACAGGTGTGAGTGAGTTTGGTTGTTGGGCTGTGTGGGTGTACAGGTGTGAGTGAGTTTGGTTGTTGGACTGTGTGTGTGTATAGGTGTGGGTGAGTTTTGTTGTTGGACTGTGTGGGTGTACAGGTGTGAGTGTGTTTGGTTGTTGGACTGTGTGGGTGTAGAGGTGTGCGTGTGTTTGGTTGTTGGGCTGTGTGTGTGTGTACAGGTGTGGGTGAGTTTGGTTGTTGGGCTGTGTGGGTGTGTTTGTGTATGGGTGTGGGTGTGTTTGGTTGTTGGGCTGTGTGGGTGTACAGGTGTGGGTGTGTTTGGTTGTTGGGCTGTGTGGGTGTACAGGTGTGAGTGTGTTTGGTTGTTGGGCTGGGTGGGTGTACAGGTGTGGGTGTGTTTGGTTGTTGGGCTGTGTGTGTGTGTGTACAGGTGTGGGTGTGTTTGGTTGTTGGGCTGTGTGTGTGTGTACAGGTGTGGGTGAGTTTGGTTGTTGGGCTGTGTGGGTGTGTTTGTGTATGGGTGTGGGTGTGTTTGGTTGTTGTGCTGTGTGGGTGTACAGGTGTGGGTGTGTTTGGTTGTTGGGCTGTGTGGGTGTACAGGTGTGGGTGTGTTTGGTTGTTGGGCTGTGTGGGTGTGTTTGTGTATGGGTGTGGGTGTGTTTGGTTGTTGGGCTGTGTGGATGTATAGGTGTGAGTGTGTTTGGATGTTTGGCTGTGTGGGTGTACAGGTGTGGGTGTGTTTGGTTGTTGGGCTGTGTGGGTGTGTTTGTGTATGGGTGTGGGTGAGTTTGGTTGTTGGTCTATGTGGGTGTGTATAGGGGTGGGTGAGTTTGGTTGTTGGGCTGTGTGGGTGTACAGGTGTGGGTGTGTTTGGTTGTTGGACTGTGTGGGTGTACAGGTGTGGGTGTGTTTGGTTGTTGGGCTGTGTGGGTGTACAGGTGTGAGTGTGTTTGGTTGTTTGGCTGTGTGGGTGTACAGGTGTGGGTGTGTTTGGTTGTTGGGCTGTGTGTGTGTATAGGTGTGGGTGTGTTTGGTTGTTGGGCTGTGTGGGTGTACATGTTAGGTGTGTGGTACAGGTCTGTGTGGGGACACAAAGGCGGCCGGGCGTGGTGCTGGCCACCCACCCCCTCGTGTGCCGTGCCGGCCTACAAAGGTGCTACTCGCTAACAGCACTTGTCCCAAACGTCTGTTAAGGCTACACGGGGGAGCTTTGTCTTTTGTTTGTGGGACTTCGTGTGTTCCCTTGCGTGCACGTGTGCATGTCTACGTATGTGCACACGTGCGTTCATGTTTATGCGCGCACAACTACTTGTGTGCACCCATCCAGGCAAAAACGCAGTGGTAAACGTCGTTGTTGTCGTACACGTGCATGAGTGTTCTGGCCAACACACATGTTGTGTTCACTAAGAGTGCTCTCCCCCAACAGCAGTCTACATGTAGGCTATACGGGTGATCAGTCTTTGTATGTACTCGTACGTGCGTGTGTGACGATATATCTGAACCGGTCCTGCGCCTCCCCTAGGTCGACTCAGCCTCAAATGAGTGTCTAAACACCGCCACTAGGGAGACAAAGGCGGCCGGGCGTGGTGCTGACCACCGCACACCCTCGTGTCCCTTCACAGACTGTTGGGGCAGCACTTGCCCCAACAGTCTGTTCGGGCTATACGGGGTGGGGGGAATCTTTGTGTTTATGTGTGAGTGCGTGAGTGTGCGTGAGTGTGTGTGTGAGTGTGCCTGAGTGTGTGTGAGTGTGCGTGTGTGTGAGTGTGCGTGAGTGTACGTGTGAGTGTGTGTGAGTGTGCGTGAGTGTGTGTGAGTGTGCGTGTGTGTGAGTGTGTGTGAGTGTGCGTGAGTGAGTGTGTGTGAGTGTGCGTGAGTGTGTGTGAGCGTGTGTGTGTGTGCGTCATCTCACCGACAGACTGATGACGTTGGTCAAGTTCATGTTTTTTTGGCGAAGTAAAGCCCCGAGTTGTTCACCGGGGGGCGTTTGGAGCAAACGTGGTTCTCTCTCTCCGACTCCTCTTCTGCTGCTGCTGATGTCCCAGTGACATCAACATCACCGTTGCCTCCTCCGCGATTGTTGTGGGGGTGGTGGTGGTGGTGATGGGGGGGGCTACTGCTGATTTCTTTCACAAGTGGCCGTGCTCTTCTTTGCGCGTCGCTGCACCGCGTGCGGGAGACAGCGGTCACGACATCACTCGCCGTGCCCCATTGCTGTGGCTGCCATTTGTGTGAATGGCTCAAAACATGGGAACGTGGAGGAGGAGGAGGAGGTGGGGGGGAGGAGAGTTTGGGGGTTGTCGATGGTGGTGGTGGTTTGAAGGGGTAGGGTTGAGGGGAGAGTGAGTGGGCTGAGGGGGGGGGGGCTCAGAGCAGTGAAGGTTTTGGTGGAACAGCTCGAGTTACTGAAACGGGACTACGAGCGGTTGACTGAAGCTCCGTGGGTGGTGGGCTGGCTGGCTGGGAGAGTGGTTGTTTGGGTGGCTGAACAGTGAGAATAATAAGGCTGAATTTGAATAATAAGGCTGAATTTGAATAATAAGGCGGAATTTGAATAATAAGGCTGAATTTGAATATTAATGCTGAATAAGAATAATAAGGCTGAATTAGAAAAATAAGGCTGATTTTGAATAATAAGGTGGAATTTGAATAGTAAGTCTGAATTAGAATAATAAGTCTGAATTAGAGTAATAACGCCGAATTTGAATAATAAGGTTGAACTTCGGGGGGGAGGGGGTGTGTCTTATAATCCGGTAGATGTGTATGTTGTATGTGTTGGTGTGACCACATTAGTATATCTTATGTTTCAGTAGGCTTTATCTGGTAAGGCAAACAAATGTCAAGTTGTTTTGTTTATTTTTAAGTGATTTGTTTACCTTTCCTATACTTTGCACTCCTATCGTGTTTATGTACTGTTTGTTGTTGTAACGTTCTGACCCCGTGCCCCAACTGAAAATCTGTGAAAAGAGCTTCACAGCTCATCGGATTCCTCCAGTATAAATAGAGTTTCCGATTCTGACACCCTGCACACGTTTGAGGTGCATCTGATAATATAACACCGAGAGTACGGTAGTGATAGTCTGATAGAAGAGTGGGTTCGGGGGGGGGGGGGGTGTTAGTTGGTGCGATGGGGTTGGGGATTCTGGAATGGCGTTGGTAGGAGGGTGGTGATGGTGGTGGCGGCGGCGGGGGTAGAGGCGAGAGAGGCCGGCAGGGTGGATCGGTGGGTGGCTTGTGTGGTTGGGGGACGCGATGTTCAGAGAATTTCTAGGGAGGGCTAAACACGAAAGTTGAACCAATCCCATCTCGTCCCACGCAGCCAAACATCAACACCCCCCCCCCACCCCCTCTGCTGACCTATAGGAAAATTCCCGGGGGGCGTACTCCAGCTCGCCAATTATGATTCATCTTCGCCGAGTACGGAGTGGGCACGCTCTGTACGACCGCGCCCAGCCGGATAATGTTTCACCGCGGCTGCTATATGCCAGCCTGGGCACCCCCTCCCCCCCATCCGACAACTGAACCTTGTGGTGGGGGTCTCGCCATAAGGTTCAGTTGTCAGATGCCATGCGCGCACGAAACGCAACGATTGTCCTCATGCAGATGACCGTTTTATTCGGATTATAACTTATAATTTATAAGTCGCTCCGGAAAGTAAGACTCCCGACCCCTGCCCAATGTCTGGCCCTGACCAGGTACTGAAATGGGTAACCTCAAATGAGTACCTGGTGCGGTCTGTGAAAATATCGCCACTGGGGAGACAAAGGCGGTCGGGCGTGGTTCTTAGTCATAACACCACACCCCCTTGTGCGCCTTCATAGTGGCTCGCTAACAGCACTTGCCCCATCTGCTTGGAAATACTATACGGGGGTTCTTTATCTCTCATCTATGCACAACTGTATACATGACTACGCGATGCACACACACCTACAAACGTGCACACGCCACCAAGTCACACATCACTCACAAACAGGCAGACACTCACACACATCAGCCACACCAATCCACGCACACCGCACAGAGGAAACACCACATTCCAATTACACGCACATTGCGCTATCATCCACATGCGCACAGTCCTTACATACCAGCGACACCACATAAGTACACGCTGCAGATGGGAGCACACACACACACACCGTACTGCACAGACAGAACGCTCCGTACTCGAGCGTTGAGCCAAGCAAGGCTGACTCTGCTGATGAGACGCAGTCGGTCGTTTCCTCGTCGTGATTCAACGCTGTTGAAATGATAAAATCCTCGAAGGCCGTGCGGGTGAATGCTTCCGTAAGAAACGCAGTGACGCGAAAGAGACATTGTCTGCTTACGTATGTTGAGATTTATTTTCTCTCCACTACGACACGAATGGGTATTTCGAGTCATCCTAATGACACCACTTAAGACGTGATACGGTACAACTTGGATTCGTGTCCTGTAGTGTGTTAACGCCGATGTGTCCCAACATATAGAAATATGTGGTATCAACACAGCACTGACATGATTTATATGTCAACCATAAATAACCACGTACACACCCTACTCACATGGACACCACTTAAGCAAACCCTTTCACATACCCCAGCTGAGCTAACTACACGCATCTGCGTGCATACACACCCCGCGCTCAGACACAGCACTCACGACTACCCACCTACAAACCCCACCACTAAAACAAGACAAAGATCCACCCCCCCGTGTAGTCTTAGCAGACTTTTGGAACAAGTGCAATTAGCGAGCACCTTTGAAGGCCGGAACGGTACACGAGGGGGGGGGGGGGGGTGTGACTGGCCGACCGCCTTTGTCTCCCCAGTGGCAATGTTTACACACCACATGAAGTACTCATTTGAGACGGAGCCGACCTAGGGGAGGCACTGGACCGGTTCAGATAATCGTCACTGGTGTTGACCGTGAGCGGGAATTGAACTCGGGTCGCCAGGGTGGTAGTGCAGTGCGCTAACCGCTGCGCCACCGCTCCCCACTACTTCACACAGCAGCCATAACAAACACACCACCCACACCTACCCCCTTACACATCCCACGCATTCACATGCACACAGCATCAACAACAGCAAACACCACCAATGCACCCTCACATCCCACTCACGTCAACCATAAATACATCAACTGTTGGGGTAGATCCTGTTAGCGAACACTTATTAAGACCCAAACGGTGCACAAAGGGGTGATGTAGCCAAAACCACGCCTGGCCGCCTTTGTCTCTCTAGTGGTGACATTTACACTCGGCACCGATTACTCGTTTCCAGGCCGGAGTCAACCTACAGAAGGCCCAGGACTGGTTGTAGGTATTCGCCACTGATGTTGGCTGCGAGCGGTAATCGAACTCAGGTAACCGCGGTCGAAGCACATTGTGCTAACCTTTGCGCCACCGCTCCCCCCACATCAAAGCACGCGCGCGCACACGCATCACCCACGCAGCAGCCTGTCAGACGGACACGTGCCTCTTTCCCCTCACAGATATGAGTCATTCAGTCATGACACACAATGGCTAAGTTTGTTCTAGTTTCTGGAAGAGACGTGAAACACGCTCAAAGCGCACCAAAGAGTGAAGGGGAAAATTAACTCAATTCGGCATTGAGCATGCTCGTTGGCAAAAACTGCATCTATGTGTGCGGCGTTTACGATCCTCCTGGTATGTGTTGTGGGTTTTCTCCGGCTACTCCCGTTTCCTTCCACATAGCCAACACTCATTCGTGGCATTGGTCAAATATTGCAATGTAGCAGGTGGTATGAATGCCATGTTACAGCTCTTTGTCAATCCACTGCCGGATGAAGGTCACCCTACGCCGTGTCGATGGTGTTGTTGTTGGTGGTGGTGGTTATTTGACCATACTTCACCACGTTTGTCAATGCGTGTTGGGTTGAGGGGGAAGCTACAGATTTTAGCCGTGACTGGCAAGTGCGCTAACCACTGCGCCACCACTCCGCGGCCTATGTTGCAGGACCCTTCTTGCCAGAGGGTACCTATTGAGACTTTCCGGGCTAAATAAACAGTCGTGATTTTAGTTTTTGCTTTCATCGTTATTAAAATACTCCGCATAGGCTCGGCAACCAACGACATAAACTCCGACTGACACCCGCACAACCCACACGGCCACAGCGTTACAAGATGAAGGTGGGAGCGCTCATGCCCTGCCCCATCTGTGAAAAATAGCTTTACAGGTCATCGGATTTTCTCCGGTATGAATAAATATTCTGATGCAGATTAACGCCGCCGCACCGTCCGTGACATTTTCGCGATACTCTCAACAATCGCAACGCCGACACCTCGATACAAGGAGCCAGGTCGCTCTGAACGGATGTCAACATCGCCCTCTTGTTAGTTCTATTCTTCTCCCTGTAAATGATATTGCTGCCACTTCTGGATGTAACACGTTGCAGTGGCGACTTTCTCTCTAGCCGGTAGGAGATTCCCTCTGGCACGGTTGGAGGATAAATCTGGCCAGAAATAGTCCTCGGCGCTTTCTTTTTTGTCTTACGGGGACGGAACTTGGTCTGTGAGAAGTCTCCGTTTCGTGGGTAGGGGGGTGCAGTCCCACCCCCGCCCCTCCGCCAATGTGTCCGGTCACTCCCCAAAAACGTGTTAGATATGGCTCGGAGGCACTCACACAAAGTTGCGCTCCCAGGTCAGCACACACGCACTCGCATAGACAAAGATCCCCCCTATAGTCTTCCTCGACTGTTGGGGCAAGTGCTTCTAGCGAGGATCTTTGAACGCGGTTACACGGCGGGGTGAAGTGGTCAGCACCACGCTCGGCCACCTCCTTTGTCCCTCCCGGTGTTTGTGTTTTTTTGTACACACCGCACGAGGTACTCATTTAAGGCTGGGTCGATCTAGGGGAGGCCCAGCGGGAATCAAACTCGTATCGCCGGGTTCGTAATACAGTTGCGCTAACCACAAAACTATCCCGCGCACAAACAACGCACACACGGCACGCGCATATATTCAGGCAGCACACAAAGACAAAGAGCCCCGTATAACGTTTAAACGGCTGAAGGGGCAAGTGCTGTTAGCGAGCACCTATGGAGACCAGCACGGCACAAAGATCCCCCTCATAGGCTTAACATACTTTTGGGGCCAGTGCTGTTCGCGAGCACCTATGGAGGCCAGCATGGCACACCCACACACGCACGCCAACATCCACTGGGAGACCCATTCGCTAGCTGGACACTCCCGTCCGCCAAACAGTTGAAGTGCCTTTCTGTGCCCGGAGTGGGTTGGGAGGGTAGTGATTTATCCGGTTCTGAAAGGATATCGGCTCTACACGGGGC